AAATAAATAAATATATATATATATATATATCATAAATACGCATGACTTTCGATTACCGCATTTTAATCCACATCTGCCAATCGAATATTGAAACCTTGGAGAAGCAGATGGTGTTGGGAAGAAGCACACGATTACGTAGCAGGTGTATATTGCCGAGCGCGCGCGACAGGTGAAGTGCAAGAGGCTTTAATTTTACTTATGTACTTCTATACAAGATCGTCATCGAATTTTTGAAAAGCTACGGTGAAAAAACAGAAGAATCCCAGTCGACAGTAATTAAAAAGTAATATATAAAATCTATGTAATAATTTCGCACTCAACATATATATATATATATATATAGTGCTTGTTTTCCAGCAAAAGACACAATATACACTCATATTAGATCGAGCTCTTATAGATACTAAACAAAGCTGTAATCCACATATCTCAATAGACTTAAAATCTGAATTTGATTTAATTTCAATGCGTTTAATATTCAAATGTGATCGATATCGAGTTGATCCCCATCCCCCTCAAGGAACATACTAAATTAAAAAAAATCGAAATGATTGAATTTTATTTTCATATCATAAAAGTTAAAAAATGATTTTCGGTTATAAATTTTGACATTAAAAATCTAAATAAAGTCATTTTGACTTTTTGTTGATTTTTATGTGTCTCTTGGATTTTATTATCAGGGATTTTGTTTGCACGTAAAAAATCTAAGGACGATTTATTTCGGGCATCGACGCCGGTCAGGAACACGCGTGCGGAATACGCGATCGATCGTTCGTTCACGCGTGTGCACGTGCGGTCGATGGGAATTAATCACTTCTCATGCTCCGCGCGCATGGTGCGTCGCTTCATCGGTATTTCCCAGGACGACGCGTTTCCGAACCGATACCTCTTCTTCCTCGTAAATAAGATCCGGCGCGGTGGGAGGGAACAATGAATAATTTCGCCAGATGAATACTGAAACGATCGTATACGTCGCACCTCTACGATCAGCGTCGCGCGTCCCTCGGCGAGTATACATGTATACTCCTCATGATGAGAATACCACTTACGAGCGACCGTGAGACCACAAAGAGGGAAAAAGGAAACAGAAGCAGAAGTTCGGAGTCACGTCTTTCCCCGACACGCACACCTGTCCCGAAAAGTAATCAAATGATTTTTCCGATTTGTTCCCAAGGAACGATGCTCCTTTATGTCGGCGACTGCAAATCGCGCCACACAGTGTCATAAAACCGGCAGGCTATAAAGCGCGAATCCCTTTTCTTCGCACTCGGCGACCCTTCCGGCCAAACTAGTTTCGGAGGAGCCAATTAATTTCGTCGGTGGGAATTGACTCGACTGACGATGGACGCATCGATCTCGATCATAAAATGAAGTCAACAGATATAACTTAAAAAATGGGTTCAAATGCACAAATTGCCTGACAGTCTAAGATCATTTTATCGCATTTTTATCGAATTCTGAACGAACGTTTACCATTGAACTTTCAGAAATTATATCAAACGGCAGTATCGAGTTTTATCTCGGAGATAAAATGCAATTTTATATTTTGAATCTTTATCAAACTTTTTCTTATAGCTAATATTTGATTGACCGTACTAGTGATAGTATATGCATTGATGCATATAAAGTAGTTGATCTAATCTGACAAAAAGAGGACACATAGGACTCTCTCATTTTTATTTCCTTTAATATGGTAAATTTATATCGAAACCATTGAGAATAAATTGTATCACGATTGAGTATTTTATACTGAGTTCACTGCGACCTCTCCTTGTAACTATAAAACTAAAATGCAAATATTTCGTATTATAAAATACGTATTTTACTAAACAGCATTAAGTGTATTAAAAATTTAAGTTTATAATCCGTTTTATATTAAACACACGTTTCGTTGATTTATACTAATTCAAGAAAGTTTCGCGTGTCATTCCTCGTTTTAGTCATTTTCGTATCGATCGATATTCAATCCCGTTCGTAAAGAATAAGGATCGGTAACCACTACTCTCACGTGAAGTATAGCGTTTCAATGTCAGCCACAGGAAGTAACTCGATACAGTTGGCTTCTGGAACACGTGCGGATGATGCTTAAGAGGAATATATTGGTCGCCGACCGGATGGGATTCGCACGATTAGGCGCTAGATCGACTCCGACGATATCGACAATATTGGTATGAACCAAGTATATTGATTCAATATAATGTACCTTGACAAATGGATGCAACACATTTCACGAACGATTAAACTCAACGATGATTTATTATAAAGTGAAAAAAATACTTGAATATATGATTTATCAATTAAATAAGGAAATAGCAGTTTGTTTATACAATATTGATGTTGAAGCATCACTGCTCCACCGGAAGGCTGAGGGTCAGCATGAGAACCACTAGCGAGCAGAAGGGCGCGTGCCAAGGGTTCACATCTGCCGCAGTTGGTTTTACATCCCTACGTGTCTCCCTTTTTGGAAAGGGAAGGCTGCCACACCATCAGCATCGTCGTCTCATGTGTGTGAGTCTCTAGTTACAGAAAAAAAAAGAAAAGAAAAAGGGAGGGACGTTTCCGCAGGAAGCACTACAAGGTTCCCTCTTTCGTCCCTCATCTAACGTTCTCGTGAACGCGCGGGCGAACCGCAGCGATGGATAATCGCATATGCGAGTCATATGCAATCGTTGCGCACGAAGGATCAGAGCCAGCGAGCCCGCGTAGAGACATGGAGGATGGTTTTTTTTTTTTACCTTACGACGCGATCACTATGATTTCGTATTGCCAATAATTTGCTCCCCTAGAATCCATGTGTTACAACCGCAGTATGTATTCTCGGCGAATTACGCGAGTCGCGGCTAAGTGAACGCTGCGGTTACTTATTAGCCGCAAGTAACTAAGTTGGGTGCAAAAACACGTATTGATCCTTGACGAACATAGTAAAAACTAGATGCGGCAAATGAGATATTAGCGGTAAATGAGAAATTGAAAGGAAAAATGTGATGAGAGAGTTATTTAGCTAAATAATTCACTCCGGAACAAAGCCATAATTTACAATTCCCGCTGTTGTTTGTTTTTCGCTACTTTAAAGATGAAATATTAATTTAATTATACTTACACAATTAGTATACCTGATTAGACCATTTGTGTTCCGTGTATTTCTTTTCTTTGAAATACTAAGAGAGACTAAGTAAACAATGGTTTCTATATCTCCTTATAGGAAAAGATCTTATATTCAAAAAAGGAATTTTAATAAATAAGCCAAACTAGTTTTACTTGCTAAAAATTTTGACCTAATTGTTATAAAATTAATTTTGCAAAAATTTTGAACTGTAATAAGATGTCACCTTAATACGATAATCGAGAGAGTCACAAAAAATTACAATTAAAAATAAATATACATACAATTATATAAGATAGGATTAAGTTAAAACACGCATATCGATTGATGTTTAATGTTTTTTTTTATAAATATCATCAATGTATAAAAATGTAAAAATTAAAAATTGGAATTGCATCGTCAACTCAATTGAATGTCAATCCGATAATAAGAATAGCATTAATAATAATAGAAAAAATTACGGTAGTATTTTGCGGATGTAATGTTGCGAGTGCCCGAGTGGAAGCATTTGTGATGCGTAGAAGTACTTTTTAGACTTTAATGATTGCTGCGGAACAGTCAGTACATCCCGAAATAGTCAGTACGTCCCTGTATCAGGGCCCTGAAAGAAGGGGACCGCA